AAAAAAAAAATTGTGACTAGGACAAAAAAGTCACATTCTTCTTGAAGGGACTGATATTAGTAGTACTTCCAGGCTTTGTTAGTGATGACAGTGGATAACACTGGTTTTAGAACACCGCAGAAAATCATTCTCATTAATTTATAACATTTTTCAAAAAGATTTATTTATTTATGCATACAGAACTGGGGTACAGGCCAGAGGTGCAGAGCGTGAGAGGATTGACCAGAGACAGAGTGGGGAATAGAATAGGTAGATTGACGAAGTACACTGCTGAAGGGAGCAGCAGACAGGACAGGAGGGGTCTGCCACGCCATGTGGCTCTCCTCCAGGGCAGGCGGGGATGGAATTCATGCTGAAGTGGCTTTAGCTTCTTAGTGCTGTGCTTTACCCTGCTGCACCACCAGGGAGGGCCCCATTTTTTTGGTTTAACAGCTTTGTTATTTTGGTCTTTCAGATTTGGATCTGTGAGAATAGTTTAGAGAATATAACACAGATTCTGAAGTTCCTTTGCAAATGGTTAATGTGCCATTCTTTCATTAAAACTTACTAGCTAATTGAATGACAGATTTGTTACATAACTATTAAAGGTTCTTGGGTACCTGAGCAAATCAGTGAAATCAACCAGTGACAGATTAATTTGGGAAAACAAAATTAGATCCTCACCTTAAACAGTTTCATTTTTTCAAAATATTATGTACCTGTCAGGCTCCACAAACTCTTCATATAGCAAAGAGTTAAATGTTAAAAATTTAAAAGTGGGTCCTCCCTGGTGACATAGTGGGTTAAAGCACAGCACTACAAAGCCAGCTGCAGCTGCTTCAGCACGAGTTCTATCCCTGGCTAAGGAGGTGACCCATGTGACACAGCAGACCTCTCCTGACCAGCCCGCTGCTCCCCTCTGCAATGTACTTTGTTGATCTGTCTGTTCTGCTCCCCACTCTGTCTGCTCCCCACTCTGGTGAATCCTCTCATGGACCCTGCACCTCTCCCAGTTCTGTATACATAAATAAATTAATCTTCAAAATAAAATAGAAATTTAAAAGATTAGGGACTGGTTTTATCTGTGTTCAACTTTTTGGTACACATGAAATTTTTATTTTCCTATATCATTGTGTTTTTTAATTTATGCATACAGAACTGGGGTGCAGAGGTGGTGAGAGGATTCAAGGGAGCAGAACAGGCAGATCAGCAAAGTATACTAACGAGGCAAGCAGCAGATGGGTCAGGAGAGGTCTGCCACACCATGTGGATCACCTCGGGCTGGGGATTGAACTTGCCCTGAAAGGGCTGCGGCTCACTTGTAATGCTGTGCTTTAACCTCTTGTGCCACCAGGGAGGGTCCTATATTATTTTTGGACAATATTTGTTTTTTGTTTTGTTTTTTAATTTATGCATACAAGAGTTAGGGTGTAGACCAGAGGTGCAGTGCTTCTTTGCAACAGTTGATAGGATCATGTAACTTTTATTTTTGTTGATCGGATGAATTGTGTTAATTGATTTTCAGATGTTGAACTATCCTTCAGTCCCTGGAATAAATCCAAATTGGTCATGGTGTATAATCCTTTCAATGCATTGTTGAATTTGCAAAGATTTTTACTGAGTATTTTAGCACCTGTGTTCATTAGGGAGATTGGGCTGCAATTTTCTTTTAATGTGTTGTCTTTGATATTAGTATAATGTTGACTTTGTAAAATGTATTTAGTAGTATTCCTTTTTCACTCAATTTTTTTTTCCCTTTCTTCTGGTTGTTCTTGGGGACAGAGAAAGAATGTAAGATAATTTGTATATACTTTAACATGATTTTAACTTTAAATTATTCTTGTATTTTTTTTTATTTTATAA